TGTGCTTGGTTTTGCACCAGGGACTTATGTTTTGTGCTTCTGAGGGTAGGAAGAGGCTTGTTAGCCACCCTTGAAACCCACCGGCCGTGGCATGAAGCCACCGGCCATTCTTTTTTTCTTACCGACCAAATGTTTGGTCAGTCGGCACTTATCTGAGGTTTATCGGCATTTTGTGTGGTCAATCGACCATGCATTTGGCCGGTGGTCTCCTTTTCTGGCCGGTACCACCTTTTTGCCTTTTTCAAGCATTATGCATGCCAGCTGTGCCAGTTGGAATGCACGGACCTGTCCTCCATACGTGTATGGAGGAATTTGCACCCTTTGCACCCTTTTGGTCTAGCTTCTTGGGGAAGCTTGGACCTTTGTCTTAGCTTCCTCAAGAAGCTTGGACACCTGTCTCAGCTTCCTAAGGAAGCCTTGGCCCCTTTGCCTTAGCTTCTTTAGGAAGCCTTGACCCATTTTGTTATCTTCTCTTGGAAGCTTAACACTTTGCCTTGTCTATTTAAGGAGACCTTCCTCCTCCTTTGAAGGGGTTCAGCAAAACCAGACCTAATTACATATATCTCTGATATGTATCACGCTTTCTCTCTATATCTCCATCTCTCTCTTGATTTGTGTGTGTTTGAGGGCCTGAAAGTGTAGTTTGTTTTTAGTTTTGCACTAGAACACATAGTATTACACCATACTTCGACTTTGGAGGTGTTGAGGGTTTGTTTTTCAAGTTTTGAGCTGGTTTTGATCAGAAGAAGGTGGCTGCACTTGCTGTTCTTGAAGTGTTCTTCAAGAGTAACACTTTTGCTTTATTTTTCCCAATCTTGCACTAGTCTTTAACCTATCTTGCATACTGATTTAAGCTTTGTGTATAACTGAAAAAAGCCTTGTATTTGCATGCTTAAGATACTTTATTCAAGTCACTTTGGTGTTGGGGGTCGACCTCCCCCTCTTAGGCCTCGTTTGGCCCTTTTGTACCTTCTTTATTGAGCTTTGAATCCTTTTGTGGATTGGCCTTCCCATCACTGAAATCCAGAGGATTTTCAGTGGTGAAGAAGGGGTCTTGAAGTCTTGCATAGGGGAGGGACACCCCTCTCCCTTTGTCTCTCTTTTGTTTGCATTTTTGGGTCATAAGGATAGCATGTATGCTTAGTTGCTTTTGGCTTCATTTCAGAGATTTTTGGGTATTATTTGGTCATATTATATCTCTGTTTTTTGTTGGATTAATGGCCCCTTGCATGCTTAATATACTTGCTTTGTATTCCCTTATTTTGCCTAGAAGTGCATCATGCATTTAGCCTACCATGTTCTCATGTTTTTGCCTAGCTTTGTGAAGCTTTTGGTCATGTTTCATCATGCTTGAGGTCTGTTAGGCATTGATTTGGTCATACCTTTCATGCTTTGTGTAGTCCCTTTGCATTCTAGCATGTTGGCATCGGGTGTGTGAGTCATTAGCATGTACTACATTGGCTATTTCAGTGATTTGGAATCACTTATTATGTCATTTCAGTCCATGTTTTGTGCTTACATGCTTACATTTGTTCTCCTTTCAATGCCTTGAAGAGATGTGGTCTCATGCTCCATGTTTAGGCTTTTGTGCATGCCTATGTGTTTGAGTCATTTGAGCTGCCATAACAGTGGGTTTTGGGACTTGTTTTGGTGCATCGTAACTCTGTTTTTGGTTGCATAGTCCATACCATGTTTGCTTGGGATAGGTGTTGGGCAATGCTCTCTTTTGTGCCCTTGAATGCCTTCTATTTCTCACCCATTCCCTAGCATGTTTTGACATCATTCTTCGCATGCTTTTCAGAGTTTAACATGAGCGTTTAACGTCCATGTATATCGCCTTCAAGTATGCCTAGAGTTGTCCCCTTCCATACTTAGATGATGAACCTTGTTGTGTGCATGTTTACATGCATAATTAGTGCTCTTTTGCACCATCTTTGGCCACTGTTTTGGGGCATGGCTGAGGCCTCCCATTTCAGTTTAAGACCACCCTTGTACATAATTGCATACTTGGCATGATGTATGTTGCGTTACATTAGTTGCATGCTTGCATTATATCTTGTTTGCATTTTTGCATATTGCTTAGCTAATGGCATCACATGACCTTGTTGCATACTTGGCATACTAATGTGACATTAGATTAGTTTGCATGCCTTGGTAGTATTGCATTGTATTAGGCTAGCATGCTCATATTGCATTGCATTAAGTTGCATCATTTTGCATTGTATATGACATACATGCATTGCATTAGGTTTGGTTTGGGGTGTCAAACCAAATCTAAGGAATGGGATGCGTTCGTACTTGAAGTGATGTAACGCGCCTCACTCATCGATCGCCGATGACCTTGATCTCAACATAATAGGTTGTTGGCATTTATGTGTTTTGTTGCATGCATTTACATCGAATGGCAAACTTGGCCTCTTAGGCCATCATGCATCAAAATGCGCAATTGATGGCCCGAGGGTCGAGGGCCACACTCCCTTGAATCCATAACATGATTGGGAGAGTGGCCATGCACACATTTGCTTGAAAATTCCATGCCATACACTGTTTGCCCTCTGCTGCTGTTAACTGCAGGATTCTGCATGATTAAATGGCCGACCGGCCATCTCTAGTGCCGATCAGCCATCAGTGTCCAGCCGATGACACAAGCTTTGGCCGATAATCCCATTCCCATGGCCGGTGGCCTTTTGTTCTGGCCGGTGGCACTCCACAGCACTCAAAAGGAAGCTCAAAGCAGTTCTGGAAACTTTCATAATTTTTCAGAGGAGCAAGGCAGTGTAAACAGAGGCAATAGTGGCATGGTACGGGTTTCCGAGCAAGGCGAGTCAAGCATGCATCATCCACGCATTTCGAGGCAGGGCTGCGACCACCTTCCTTCTGTATTTAATTCGTTAATTAATTAGAAGTTCTGTAATATTTAATTTAGTAGTATTCATTTGGTTGTGTAATATTTATTCGGACCCTCCGAGTGAGGGCAATTGTGTAATACGTGTTCGTGAGTGTATGTATGTCTTCCAACCCCACGTCTTTCTTCCCTTTTTATTTACTAGCTTTCAATAGTTAGTATTAGGGCATATTTAAATTAGCATACCTTATGCTTTGCATGCGTGCATCCATCCATCTGTATTACATGCACTGGGCTCGGCGCATCATGCTAACTGTATTGTATTTTCAATTCCAAGTTGAATACGTGTTAGCTGTGGCATCATCATATGTCATTCTTAGATTAGCCGAGCCTATTCTAGTTGCATTCTGTATGTGTTGCATTAGCCATCGTAACATGAATTAGGATCATGCATTTGATTACTAACTAGTTTCTGTTTTGGCTTGGAGTACTAGGTAAGCTCTTATGTTTTAGCATCTTGCATGCGTGTGAGTGTTGTCATATTAGCATGCTTACCATGAGGCTACATGCTTATGTAATATAACCGCCTGAGTGCTTGTGGGTGACGGTTGGGTTATCTGAATTGGAATAATGCATTGACTATGAGTTTTAAGCCCACTTGAAAGTGGCAAAATCATATTTTCTAAGCCCACTTGAGGGTGGCAAAATCCATGTCTTAGCCTACTTACGGGTAGCATCATCAAACCATTTTCAAACAAACAAACATGAAATGTTTCATTCCAATTCAGGGTACCCAATCTATACTTGTTTGCTATGCGCAAAACATAGTAAATCTAGGCTAATAACCGGAATAAGAACACATAACGTTTTCAAAACTAGATATCATGGTTAGTAGAGGCCGATCTCCGGATCGGGCGAGTGGGGATGCTCATAGCTAACCTTCCCCAATCGTATCCAAGTTTCCGAATCGAGGCAACTTTGGTAATGACGGACACGTGGCCTTAGGCAACGAGTCAGGGTTTCATAAATTCTCCAAAAATAAATATTTAGGTGGCGACTCTGTATCTGGCAAAGCAGTCCATGTTTGTCACTTCTTTTCTAAAAAATCTATTTTCTCAAAACGATTTGTCGGATTTGGACTCTTTGGTTCAGATTTAGAACCGTGACAATTTGAGAGTCCAAACTGTAGTGAGCCCAGATGAACAGAACGGGACATCCTCCCGGGGCGTTCGGGGACGTCTACAATGAGCAATCAACGCAAGACAAAAAATGTAAGAAACTAGACTCGTAACCAGTTCTAATGACGCTAATTTGAAAATTTTCGGATTTATACCCAAAGAGAACATCACTCCCGAATTTACTGTTTTAAACCAGTTTTCTGGACAGATTTGAACGCATCAGTTTATATGGATTTTGACTCCCAAAAATTATGAAAAATTTCAGATTTGCAATTCAATATGTAATTAATCTACTGTAAAAATTTCAATTCAAAATTCATTGTTTGATATGGTTTCTTGATTTTTAAAGTTTGTGATTCTGTACAGAATTTTTGGATTAAGAATTACACCATTCTTTATACACAAAATACTATCCCAAACAGCCAAATATTTCATAGTCATGCCCAACACATATATCTACTTCACCAATTTGATCCATCAACTACGCAACAACACACAAGATGTAGAAAAAGATAGTAAGAGAATTAAAAAATAAGGGATTTACCTTGCCAATGACCACTACAAAACTCAACAATTTTCAGCACTTTTCACCTAATGACCTAGACAACTCTCTCCCTCTCTTTACCTCTCACGGCTGCTCTGAAAGTTGTGGGAAACAATAACATAAGAATTAAGGTTTTGTTATCCTTTATATATATACATGTATGTATATATATATATATATATATATATCTAACCAAAAGGCTTTAATTTATTATCTGTTTATATTTTTTTAATTTCTATCTCTATTAAAATATAAAAATTATTAGATCAAAATATACTTACTAATTTGGCACTTAAATTTATTTATTTATTTAAATAATAAATCTTGTCTTTAAATTAAAGATTTTTATCATAAATTTATTTCAAGTTTAAAAATTAATTAAAAGACCTCTAAATATTTAATTTACACTTTAAAATTGACCATCAAAATATTTGAGATTGTAATATTATTATTATTTAATTATTAACTTGATTTGTATACTCGCATTCTCACAAATTGAATATCATAGTTCTCTTTGGCCAAATCTCAAACTTTCTATTTTTTGTAATTGATTTGTTTTAGATTACGATGTGGGTTTTCAGAGCTCTTGATTTGGGTATTAGAGATCACGATCTAGCTTTCAAAGCTCATGATTTGGGTTTCAGAGATGACAATCGGAGTTCTAGAACGCATAATCTGGGTATCAGAGATCTAGAATACATAATCTAGGTTTCAGATATGCCAATCTTTTCTCACGATTGGAGTTGAATTGGAGGCTTGACAATCGGAGTTCAACCGGTGTGACAATCGAATCATATAGTTCTCTCTCAGATCTAAAACTTCCTTTCTTTTGTTTTCATTTATTAAATTGTTGTTGATTTTTCCTAGATTATGATATGGGTTTCAAAATTCCCGATCTAGGTATTAGAGGTCATGATCTGGCTTTCAAATCTATCGATTTGGGTTTTGGAGATGACAATCAGAGCTTTAGAACGCACAATCTGCGTATCAGAGATCTACAATGCCAATCTGAGTTTCAAAGATGATGACCTTTTCTCTCTCATTCGGATTTCTCATGATCGAAGTTCAACTTGAGGTGTAACAATCTGAGTTCAACCAGTGTGATGATTGAAGCTCGCAGTTCTCTCTCTATCAAGGTTTGTCCAGATCTCAAATTTCCTAATTTTTGTTATTTTGTTGATTTATTCTTTTTTTTCTTTCTTTCTTTCATTTTTTTTTTTTCTTCTTGAAAATGGTTGAACTTTGGTGATATCGGTTTGGGGGTTTGCCTACGAGAGGTGAGAGCATCTCCAACGGTAGTAGGCATTTTACCTATCTAAATATTACTATAGAGTATATATTTTATTTTGTCTATCAACTGTTTTCTCTTTTTACTCCAACCATGCTCTTTATTTTAGCTATTAATCTAAATACTATTAATTTTATAGAATGCCACGTCAACAACAAAGATGGAGGGAAATGATCCTAATGATTGAATACATTTTGCCTAGCGTTGAAGGCTAGCTACATGTAGCTAGTGAATATGAGTTGAGCCAAAATGCCTAATCATATGCCTAGTGCGTTGGAATTGAAAAAAGTGAATCACACTAGGCATTTTAACTAACAAGTATTATATGCCTAGTACATTGGAGATGCTCTGAAGGGATGGTGAAAATACAATAATGCGGCAGATTTGGCAAAACTAAGGTAGCGTTTGATAGAGTTATTTAAATATGATTTGAGAATAAAATTATATTATGAGTTTGTGAGTTTTAAAATTATGATTTGGGTGTGAAAAATTTGTTTGATTATGAGTTTTGAATTGAATTTTGAAGGGAGTTTTGAGTTTTTAAAATTAAAAAATTTATTTAATTTAAAAATTTACAACTCATAACCAATTAAAAAATTCAAAATTCTATTTAAAACTCATATAAAATTTAAAAAATTCTAAAAATATTTTTTATTTATAATATAAAAATAACATGTGCAAAAAAAAAAATACAAATATTATTCCGGTCAATTGGTCAGACATCTGAGAGGATGACTGGCTGGGCTAACCAAATTTTCCTGCCTAGAAAGCAGTTTTCAAAAGTGAGTGTGGAATTATAATTTAAAAACTCAAAATAAACACTACACTTAAATCAACAGGTAAAAGTATATTTAGAACGCATACCCAAACACGACCTAAAATTTGGCAGCTATGCCACTGGAGATCACTTTTTTTCTCCAACCTACAATATTAGGTCAATCGTACACTTACATTTTTATAAATAATAACTCTTATTTTGAAAGTTGTATGGATGAGATAGCTCTTAATCTCTGATTAACTGACAAACATGGACATAAAATTCAACTACGAAATTTGAGAGGGAGAATTACTTAACAATTAGATAGGTAAAGAGAAAATATACAAACATTGCACCCCTATAGTTTTTTAGTCACACCCCACTATAGAAGACTTGCATCTCTCATATTTTTGTAATTTTTTTTTTTTATCCCATTGTTAAATAATTCCCCCAATTTCAGGAAGGTAGAACAAAAAGTTATCTTAATCAAATCCTCCACTTGAATGGTATTATTTAACAATCATTTGATGTTAATATAGTTTAAACTTGATAGTACCAATATTAATGCTTCGAGCCTACATAAATGATGAACTTTATTTATTTTATTGCTCCATCAAGTTATTTACACTTCTAGAAAATTTTCTTATCAATTTTTTTTTTCTCTCTCTTCTATTTGGCATATCTTTACATAATTGCATATATAAAACCTACAACAACAACAAATAAAACACATAGGAGCTTTGAATTCTCAATTAAGCTTAAGAGGAAATAGAGATTAAATCCCAAACAATATAGAATGATAATTTAAACATTCAAATTTCCTAAGCTTCTCTTATTTTTTTGAATTGCTAACTATAATTCTTATTCTATTGCAGGCCCTCAAGCTTAATATGAAAGAACTGCAAGTTTCAACGTAGCCAACTCCATGAATCTGTAACATAGGTTCTAAGTGATGTTGAAAATGACAAATGGAAAGAACCCATGTTATTGATTTAGGTAGGTTAGCTAAGTAAATATAGGTTACAATCAAATATGGCTTACCATTCATAGGAGCATAAAATTAAAATCTTCTAATTTTTTAAAATACCAGCCCAAACTCGTCTTATTTATTTAAATATCTAAGTATAATTCTTATTCTAGTGCAAGCTCACAAGCCTAATATGAAGAACTTGCAAGGATGAAAATAACAACTGCAAGCTTCAATATAAACAACCACCTGAATCAATAACATAGATTCTAACTGATGTTGAATATGAAAATGGACTCTATTTAAGTAGAGTTCATTTATCATTACCAATCTATGGAGTGCATTGTCATTTTTTACATCAGTTGGAACCTATGTTAATTTGTCATTTTCAACATTAGTCAGAACCTATGTTATTGATTTAGGTAGTTTGGCTACATCGAAGCTTGTAATTCATATTTTCATGTTCGCAAGTTCCATCATATTAGGCTTGCAAGCTAGCACTAGAATAAGAATAATAATTAGAAATTCAAATAAATTAGATGAGTTTGGACTGATATTTTTAAAAAGTAGAAGACTTTAATTTTATGTTCAGGTGAGTAGTAAGCCATATTTTATTGAAACCATATTTACTTAGCTAACCTACCTAAATCAACAACATGGGTTCTAAGTGATGGAATTGGCTACATTGAAACTTGATCATGTGCTTGGGATTTGTGCAAGGGCTAGATAGAGCTCTCTTGCATTTGTAACCTATGGCCTCTTTTGTTTATAGGTCGAGTGCCTTTATTTTGTAAGGATTAATCACTTTTACTTGATATAAGCCTAAAGACATTCTCTTTTGTTGTTCAATATTTTATCTTGAATTTCATATTGTATATTCACTTCACCTAGACATTGAATATATGATGCATGTAATGAACAAACCTCGTGTACTGGATGATATTCATATAAATGAATAAAAGAGGGATATTTTGATTATCTTTATCATTATTCCTTTTATTATTTGATTTTACTTGTTTAGATTTGGATCTTGAAAATTCAGAGTGTGACACTATTAAACTTGCCATGATATGAAAAAATTGGCCTAGTTCTTGAGGTATTCTTTCTCCTATGTACACTTTCTCTCCATATCATCACTTATCATTGTTAAGTCACCATTATCCTAAACATTTAAGTATATAAGGCTATTTAGCACATTTTCTCACATGCAATTCATCTTGCACGCACTACAAGAAAAAACACTTTCCGTGACCAACATTTTGGTAGTGAAAAGTATCATATTTGGTCGCTAAAACCTTTTCGGGACCAAAATATGTTGGTCGCGAGTTGGTTGCGAAAGCCTCGTCACAGATAGTTTTCTGTGACAAAAAAAGCCTTTGGTCGCTAAAAGTGACAATTCGCGACCAACTTTTTTGGTCGCGGAAAGTCCAATTCATATTACCCAAAAGTAAACTTTTAGCTACCAAAGATAAGTTGGTCGCCAAAAGGCAGCGCCTTGACCCAAAAGAAATGATTTTTTTGTGCTGCCTGGGACTTGAACTCCTAACCAAGGAGTCACCATGCACCCAATCTACCCTACCAATAACATGCTTCTTGTTCATATTTGGCAAAAAATATATATAACTCATAAAAATTGAGTTATATATTATTTTATAAAATTTTTAATGCCTAAACAGAAAAATAGCATGTAATTATAGTAGTATCATTTTTTAAAAAATTTATCCCGCCATAACTTTCCGCGATCAACTTTTTTTTTGGTCGCCAAAGGGTAATCTTCAGCAACCAAAAAAGCCTTTGGTCGTCAATAGTATACTTTCCGCGACAAACTTTTTTTTTTTGGTCGCCAAAAGGTGATCTTCTGCTACCAAAAAAGTCTTTGGTCACCAATAGTATACTTTCCGTGACCAACTTTTTTTTTTTTGTCGCCAAAGGGTAATCTTCCGAGACGAAAAAAGCCTTTGGTCGCCAATAGTATACTTTTCGCGACCAAATTTTTTTTTTGTCGCCAAAAGGTATACTTTTTGTGACCAACTTTTTTTTTTGTCGCCAAAAGATAATCTTCCACGACCAAAAAAGCCTTTGGTCGCCAATAGGTATATTTTTCGCTATCAACTTTTTTTTTGGTCGCCAAAAAGTGATTTTCCGCGATCAAAAAATTGTGATCGCCAAAAGTTAAATTTTAGTCGCAGAAAGTAGACTATTTGCGACCAAAAAATATAGGTGGTCGCCAAAAGTGTTTTTTCTTGTAGTGACGTAGAGATCTAAACATCTATAGATGAAGACAAGAAAGAATGTAAATATGGATGAAATGTAAATGAGGAGACTTAAATTCAAAACCTCTCCCAACCTGAATATTGATACCATGTAGAAATATAAAGTCGATATAAAACGGAAGAACAATGAAGAGAGACATATAACAGTTTAACGTGGTTTGGCCGTAATGGCCTTACATCCACAAAAGAATGTCAATAACACTATTTACATAATACAATGATATTTATAGATGGATAGAGGTAGAGATATCTTCAGTAATGCTACAGAGCCCGAATATAGGGGCTCGAATTTGGCTCGAAATTAGGGGGAAGAAAGAGGAGGAGGAGGAGGAGAAGAAGAAGAACTCAACTAGAGGGGCCAACAAAATCGGGCAGAGGTGGAGGCGGAGGCAAAGGTGGATGCGGAGGCGGCGGCGGGCGGAGACAGAGGTGGATGCGGGGCTGCGATGCCGATGAGCGATGAGGGACGAGCTGCGAGATCGGCTGACGAGCTAGGACGCCGACGGGCTGCGATGCCGACGACGACCTGCGTTCTCACTCTCGCCTCTGTGTTCTCTCTCTCGCCTCTGTTCAACTCAACGAAGAAGAAGAAAGAAAAGGAAGAAAAGAAAAGGAAGAAAAGAAAAGGAAGAAAAAAAAAAAATCAAAACCCAAAACGACGTCGTTTTGGGTTTTGAGCCAAATTCGAGCCTCTAATTTCGGGCCCTCAAACATTATTCAGATATCTTAATCTCTTAATCTTCAAAAATAAAATAAATGCTATCTCTAACAACTATTGACAACCAATGGGGTTAGCCCATTGACTAACTACATTTCATTTGAAAATCAGTAATTCGAATATTTACACTTGCGTGTAGATTTTATTCCTTTTGCATTTGTTTGATGTTTTTCTCTCCCATTTTGAGAGCATCTTAGTATTAATTGTAGGAATTGGTGTGGCTGCTGTGCAGGGTGCACAACAGCCACTGCTGTATAGCCATTTGGGCCTTTTTCGGGGCCCATTTTGATAATTCAAACCGTTCACATTTTAGAATACATCAAGTAGAACATACCTGTAAAAAATCAAGTTAATCGGATATCGTTTACCCATTCATCTACTCACATTTGTATTCATTTTCATACTTTAAATTACAGTTGTTATTTATTTTTGTAGATACAAATGTGAGTGGATGAATGGGTAAACGATATCCGATTAACTTGATTTTTTATAGGTATATTCTACTTGATGTATTCTAAAATATGAACGGTTCGGATTATCAAAATGAGTCCCGAAAATGATTCAAATGGCTGCACAGCAGTGGCTGCTGTGCACCCCGCACAGCAGCCACCCCAATTCCTTAATTGTATGTTGGATGTGATTTTTATTATGATTAAATTTTATGATTATTAATTTTATGGTGCTTGAAAAGTCATTCAGCCTCCGTTTGGGAAGTGGGTTGGCTTTTTGGCTTTTTGGCTTTTTGGCTATTTTAGCCTGGGCTTAAAAGCTTGGTTTGAGAAGGGTTTTTTGGCTTTTTTGAGTTTTTTTGTGAGAGAAGAATGTAATGATTATGGGTTTGATGTGATGTTTTGTTTGTTATGACTAAAATAGCTTATTTTATTTTTTGTGGCTAAAATAACCAAAAAAGTCCAAACCATAGCTTCCCAAACGAAGCCTCAAAAACTTTATTAAAAACAGCCATGTTAGCAAATGAGTGTGGGCCCAATATGTTGATGTGATTATTTTTTAATAAATTATTGAAATATGTTTTTGGAAAAGGTTAAATACAGTTATTTTAAAATAAAATAAACATAGATGCAATTTTTTTTTTTTTTTTACAACTTTTGAAATAATCATTTTTTGATTTGATAATTTGATTTAGCACTTAAAATTAAATGTATTAAGTGATAATCAATTGAGTCCGTTTGATAATCACAATTGATATCATTTAAAAATTTAAATACCTCTTAAAATGTAGGTTAAAACTTAATAAAATTGTAAGTCATTTGAAACTTATTTAATTTTGACTAAATGTATAAATACTAATAATAAATATTGATGTACACTATTATAAACTCACTACCACTACTATTACTACTGCCACCGCCACAACCACCACCACCACTACCACCTCCATTACCATTGTTATTATTTCCATTAACACTACTATCATTTTACTATCACTACCATCGCTACCGCTACTACCGCCACCACAATCAACTCTACCATGCCACTAACCCTACCATCAACAATACAACAACCACCACCATTACAACCACTATCACAATATAAAAATTAAAATATACAATTTAAAAATAACAAATTTTTAAATTTAATGTTATATATATATATATATATATCAAATAATTTGTTTTTATTTCCATAAACTTTTTATCAAATAAATTTTTAACTTAAAAAATTTAACATCTAATTTTCAATATTTAGTTTTCATGTATCCATTTTCGATTTTCAAATCCATCAAACAAATTCGCTAGATTAATTCTTACATCTTTGGACAAAGTTAGTTAGCGAACAATTCCTATGCAAATTCTAACCATGTATTTCTTAAAAAATGTGTCAAATGTACAGACTGTCCAGGCACTTTAGTTATACGTCTATATTATTATTAAGGTCTTATTTGGAAACAAATTTTTTTAGTAATTTTTTGATTTTTTTGACTAAAATATGATATATAAAAAAATTAGTATATTTGGGATGATTTTTTAATTTTTTATGAAAAGATGTGCAAAAAGTAGAGAAAATAAAATATTTAACTTTTTGTTATAGGTTGTTAGCTTCTTAATTTTTAGAGTGACTTTTTGCTTTTTTACTAAAAAAGTCACTTGCCAAACGAGGTCTAAGTGAAGGTCTAAATTGGTTTAGTAAACATTTTTCTCCTCATGTCATGTGGCAACTTTATATATATTAAAATAAAAAAAAATTATTATACACAACGTAAGTAAGTTTTGAACTCAAGATCTTGGGTTTCATTAAGAACATACTTATCACTTAAGCAACATATATATTATGATATTAAATTCTTTAATATTTGTTTTTATTATTAGATATCTGAATTGCACACCCATCGCGTGTGCCACTCTCTAGTACATAATCAAAAGATCTGCCAAGTTCACATATCTCCAAAATAACATAATCAACATCCCATTCCCAAGACTTTTTTTCACTTAGTCATTGAACAAGTAAAAGGCTATTTGTAAGGATTGTTGCAGTTTTGACGTTGTTGGTGTAGGAGTCGAGTAAAAATAAATCTAAAGTTAGCAAACAGAGTACATCCAAGCCCATCTTTGATGGGCTAGGTTCGTTTAAAGTCCACTGAATCCGGAATCATTGCCAAACAGATACAAGAATAGTGGGAAAAGCGTGTCAAGTTAAGGATACCTAGGTTGTGCGTCTAAACCGAGCATATTGGGTAAGTTGGCAGAACTACATTAGGTGGATCCAAGTTGTCCCTTTCTAAAGAGTATAGTAAAAGGATGAGCCCTGACAAAGTGATGATGGAGGGGGGGCTAAGCTACAGAGAAACAATATCAAGGAGCATAACTCTATAAAAGGAGGAAAAAGGTGTGAGACAGAGGTATGTTCTAAAAATATACACCGTAAGAAATCTGAAAACTACTCTTTGATGAGAAACTGACTTGCCCGTTAGAGTGCTAATTTTGGCACCACCAACCGAAGCTTTTCTTTTGTTTCAGGTGATAGCTGAAAGATTT